CCCCGGCACACGGGGGTCCCCGTGCCCACCCTGGGACACGGGAGGAGGGCAGGACAGCAGTCCCCGGCACACGGGGGTCCCCGTGCCCACCCTGGCACCCCGAGCTGCCCCAGGCGCTGCCGTGCCCCGCACTCACCGCTCGTCGGGCTCGCGGCCGCGCTGCCGGGCGGGCTCCAGGGCCACCAGGGCCTGGCCCAGGAACCGGTCCATGCCCACGAGCGCCCGGTGCATCACGGTGAGCAGCAGCCCCGGGCAGGCCCCGGGCTCGGGCGGCAGCTCGAAGGCGCATTCCTCCCTCCACTCGGGGCTGCCGCCGCTCTTCTCGGCCACCGAGGTGCTGTACTTCTCGCGGCCCAGCTGGATCACGGTGTACGCGTCGCTGCCGCCCGCCTTGCCTTTGCCGCCGCCCTTGCAGCGCAGCCCGCGGGCCCGCACCACCGTCACCTGGACGTGCGTGGGCAGCCAGGCCGGGCAGCCCTCGGCGGGCAGCGCGGCCGCCCGCAGCAGCGCCATGGCCGGGCCGGAGCAGCGGCGGGGCCGGGCCGGGCCCCGCTCCGGAGCCGCCGCTGCCGCAGCGCCAGCGACACCGGCCGGGCCGGGCCCGCCGCAACGGCGCGGCCACGCCCTAACGGGCGGCCACGCCCACAACGCCAGGCCACGCCCACAACGCGAGGCCACGCCCCCTGCCGCTCTAATACAGCCCATATCGGCGAGGCCACGCCCACTACCGGCCTGACCCCGCCCACAACGCGCTCGGCTCCGCCCCGCTCGGCTTTAGCCACGCCCACGAGCGCCCCGCGCCTGCCCCACCCGCCTTGGCCCCGCCCCGCCCCCGCGCGCTCCCAGGCCCCGCCCCGGAGGGGGCGGGGCCTGGGAGCGCGCGGAGGCGGGGCGGGGCCGAGGTGACGCCCCCCAGCCCCGACCCGGTCACACCCGGGCTGGTCACAGGTGTGTCCCTGCCCAGGTGTGCCCTGCCCACACCCCACACCTGCACCCCCCACACCCGTGTGTGCCCCCCGGCTGCCGCAGCCCCCCGGGCCAGGCGCCCACGGGAGCAGCTTCCCGGTGTCCCCACGGGTGGCCCCGGTGGCACCGAGCCAGCGCAGCTTCCCCCGCTCACCGCTCGCACCTGGGGCGTGTTCCCGGGCCGGTGGGGGCCGGGGGCTCGGTGCCGATGTCCGTTAAACCCAGTTAAACCCCGTTAAACCCCGTCAAACCCCGTCAAACCCCACCAAACCCCGTCCGAGCCCCCTTAAACCCCGCTGAACCCCGTTGAACCCCGTTAAACCCCGTCCAACCCCGTTAAACCCCATCAAACCCCGTTGAACCCCATCAAACCCTGTTAAACCCCGTTAAATCCCTTTAAACCCCGCCAAACCCCGTCAAACCCCCTCAAACCCCGTTAAGCCCCATTAAACCCCGTCAAACCCCGTCAAACCCCATTAAACCCTGTCAAACCCCGTCCAACCCCGTTAAACCCCTCAAACCCCGTTAAACCCCGTCAAACCCCGTCAAACCCCGTCAAACCCCGTCCGAGCCCCGTTAAACCCCGTTGAACCCCGTCAAACCCCGTTGAACCCCATCAAACCCTGTTAAACCCCGTTAAATCCCGTTAAACCCCGTCAAACCCCGTCAAACCCCGTTGAACCCCCTCAAACCCCCCCAATCCCCCTCAACCCCCCCCAAACCCCGTCCAGCCCCGGGCTCGGCCCGCCGCCGCCCGGTGCCCGCAGCAAGGTCGGGCCGGGCGATGCCGCCGCGATAAGGCGCGGCCGGGCCGGGCCGGGCCGTGCCAGCCCTGCCCTATCGCGGCCATCGGCCCCGCCGCCCCCGGCGCCCCGCTCCCGTTCCGCTCCGGCGCGGGGACACGGCCCGGGACAGCGGCAGCGGACACCGGGAGGGCACGGGGAGGGCACGGGGAGGGGACACCGGGAGGGGCACTGATGGGGGACACAGAGAGGAGATACCGGGAGGGGACACGGAGAGGGGATATGGAGAGGGGACACCGAGAGGGGACACGGAGAGGGGACACGGAGAGGGGACACCGGGAGGGGACACGGAGAGGGGACACCGAGAGGGGACACGGAGAGGGGACACCGGGAGGGGACACCGGGAGGGGACACCGAGAGGGCACGGGGAGGGGCACGGAGGGGGGATATGGAGAGGGGACACCGGGAGGGAACACGGAGAGAGGACACGGAGAGGAGAACGGAGAGGGGACACGGAGAGGGGACACTGAGCGGGGACACGGAGAGAGTACACAGAGAGGGGCACTGATGGGGGACACAGAGAGGAGATACGGGGGGGACACGGAGAGGGGACAGTGAAAGGGACACGGAGAGGGGACACTGATTGGGGTCACTGAGTGAGGACACCAAGAGGGGACACTGAGGCTGTTCGGAGCAGGGACATTGAGAGGGGACACAGAGACGGGACACTGGGCAGGGACACTGAGGCTGTTTGGAGCAGGGACACTGAGAGGGAACACTGAGAGGGGACATTGAGAGGGGACAGAGAGCAGGGGCACTGAGCAGGGACACTGAGTGGGGACACCAAGAGGGGACACAGAGAGGGGACACTGAGGCTGTTTGGAGCAGGGACACTGAGAGGGGACACTGAGCAGGCTCTGAGGTCCCTTCCCCATCACTCCGTGATCCTGTGTCCTTTCCCTTTGGGGACACCAAAGGGGCTCTGAGGTCCCTTCCAGCCCCATCACTCCATAATCCCGTGTCCCTCCCTTCCCTCTGGGGACACCACAGGGGCTCTGAGGTCCCATCCAGCCCCATCCTTCCATAATCCCGTGTCCCTTCCCCTTGGGGACACCAAAGGGGCTCTGAGGTCCCTTCCAGCCCCGTCACTCCATAATCCCGAGTCCCTCCCATTGGGGACACCAAAGGGGCTCTGAGGTCCCTTCCAGCCCCATCCTTCTATAATCCTGTGTCCCTTCCCCTTGGGGACACCAAAGGGGCTCTGAGGTCCCTTCCAGCCCCATCCTTCCATAATCCCGTGTCCCTCCCCTTGGGGACACCACAGGGGCTCTGAGGTCCCTTCCAGCCCCGTCACTCCATAATCCCGTGTCCCTTCCCTTGGGGACACCAAAGGGGCTCTGAGGTCCCTTCCAGCCCCATCATTCCATAATCCCGTGTCCCTCCCTTCCCCTTGGGGACACCAAAGGGGCTCTGAGGTCCCATCCAGCCCCATCCTTCCATAATCCCGTGTCCCTTCCTCTTGGGGACACCAAAGGGGCTCTGAGATCCCATCCAGCCCCATCCTTCCATAATCCCGTGTCCCTTCCCCTTGGGGACACCAAAGGGGCTCTGAGGTCCCATCCAGCCCCGTCACTCCATAATCCCGTGTCCCTTCCTCTTGGGGACACCAAAGGGGCTCTGAGGTCCCATCCAGCCCCATCCTTCTATAATCCTGTGTCCCTTCCCCTTGGGGACACCAAAGGGGCTCTGAGGTCCCTTCCAGCCCCGTCACTCCATAATCCCGTGTCCCTCCCTTCCCCTTGGGGTTCCTGCTCGCCCCATCGCAGCTGACGGGGCAGAAGCCGCCGAGTGCAGGAGGAGCCACATTCCCCCAAAGCCTCCCAGCAGAGCCGGGAGCTGCAGCAAAGCCCGTCTTTTCTCTCTCGGGGTGTGCTGCCCCAGCCGTATGCAAATATCCCATTAAAATATGCTTGATAGGGAATAAAAACCGACCGGGAATCGCTTATCACCGAGATGAACTCCAATCCAATTATCCTTCCAGTCCAGGGCCGCTGCAGCGCCTGCCCCTTATCCCTCCTCACATCTGCTGCTGATTTTCCCTTCTTTTGATTGTTTTTCCCCATTTTTTTATGCTCTGATTATCTCGACTCTCAGCACATCTCCTCCTCTCCGCCGCTTCCCATCTTTTACCTGCATAATTGGGATTTTTTTCCATCTCCCTTCACCCTCCCTGCCCTGCTCCTATTTATTTATCTTGTATTTATTCATCTCTTTGATTTCACGCTCACCTTTGCATTTGATGCATAAGGAGGGTTTTTAATTACCCCTAAATCAATTACTGCTTTTTTTTTTATTCCATTCTGGCATCAAAGGGAACACAGGCATCCTTTGCAGCACCCTCAGCGAGCCTGGGCTGAGTGAAATTTTCCTTTAATTCTTGTTCCAACTTTAATTTTTTGTTTTTGCTTTATATTTTCCTTCATTTAATTAAATTTTTGTTTTAATATCAATTCTTGCTTTGGCTTTAATTTCTGCTGTAATTTTTTTTCCCTATTTTTTCCCAATTTTAATTTAATTTTTTCTTTTCATTTCTCCTTCAACTTTAACCATTCCTTCAATTTTTTATTTATTTAATTTTTCCTTTAATTTCTCCTTCAACGTTAGCCATTCTTTCAATTTTTGAGTAATTTAATTTTTTTCTTCCTCCTCCTCCATGGAATCTCCCTCCCCCAGCTCACCCAAAACCCTGGATGTGGACTCCCAACAAACCCAGCTCCCATCCTGGGAAGAAGCTGGAAAACAACACAAATACACTGACTTTTCTTCCCTTTTTTCCATATTTTTGGTCCAAAATCCCGCTCTGCATCCCAATGGGAGCAGCAGCTGCTCAGCCCAGGAGCTTCCCTGGATTGGGATTGGGATTGGGATTAGGATTGGGATTAGGATTAGGATTAGGATTAGGATTAGGATTAGGATTAGGATTAGGATTGGGATTGGGATTGGGATTGGGATTGGGATTAGGATTGGGATTAGGATTAGGATTAGGATTAGGATTAGGATTAGGATTGGGATTGGGATTGGGATTGGGATTGGGATTGGGATTGGGATTAGGATTAGGATTAGGATTAGGATT